CTGCAAGGCAGGCCACCGAACCGCTGAGCTAAATTCCCGGCCTGATAACTTCCTTCTGAAAGTTTTCCACTTCCTACCTCACGGGTCACCAGTCATGAGACCGGCGCGTGAACAAGGCTGGTCTGCACAGAAAATAAACGTCCAAGGGGGCCCCTGAGTGGTTGCCCCTGCAGCCGACACAATCCCCGACCCGCGTACACCAGTCACCTCACATATAACCAAGTCCCTTCCCGTCTTCTCTCTCCTTTGTTCCCTTTCCGCCGCGAGGGCCACCCTGCCGCTGCAGCTCATTAATAAAATCTCCCATAGGAGCTCCGTCGGTGTGCGGAGTGACACTTGGTAGGCGCCAGTTTCTTTTAAACTGGAACTAAAGCATGGATCAGGAAAGGGTCCTCATTTAGACCATCAGCCAAAAGGGCCTTTGGAGAAAATGGTTTGTGTTGCTAAGTTAAATGCTTCTTTACAACTTTAGAAAAAGGAGAGAGAGAGAAAGAGAGAGACCAAAATCATATTCAGTTATCTGAAGCAGATAAAACGAAGATCTTACAGAATATATTAAAAATCTCTACTCCACATGAGCATGTTTGAAGCCAGGAAATACACAGTTTGAAAGTGAGAAACAGAAGCGTCAGCGGAAACTGAAAGTAATGATTGAAATATATCAAGAAAATCTAATCAAACTCTACAGGAAACTGACAGCTGAGGGAAGTTACTGGTTAAAACAAGAGGGGAAACTTTCCAAACTAGAAGACAGTATCAGCCACACAACTAAAGAGCTGGAAACCTACAGAAATGAAGCCAAAGATACCGAAGAAGAAAGGGAAGAGCCATTCATTTCCAGATGGTCTCATCAGAGAAGCACATGCTAACTGGGGGTAGCTCTGACTGCGGAAAGGAACTTAAATGATTTAAATCAGACAATGCTCACAACAGACAAAAAAATAACTGAAACAAGAATTCAAGTTTAATTTGAAAGATCCTTAACCTTATTCACTGGATGCTTCAAATACTGCATTTGGAAGAAGGCATTGCCTTCATTTGCAAGGAAACCTTTCAGATGTCTTCCAACCTTGTGGGAAGAGCCACTCAGACTCTCACTTTTGCCTCCAGGGGGAGGAAGAGGCTCCAGAGGGGCAGAGAATCCTTTGGACCATAAAATTAGAAATGAAAAAGGAGACTCAAATTGTGTGATCGGTTATCTGAATCTCAGAGAGCACCTTCTGACACTAGGTTCTATCACCTCCAACAGAACAGCACTGTAAGACATTCCTCAGCCAAGCGAACCATATTCTGATCCAGCTCTTCCTCTATAAAGGTGAGATAGATTTTATTCTAATTCTGGTAGATGATCAGTACCACCAGAACTCCTGTGAATATGCATTATTTTTATACAGTGGACCGGCCACTCTGCAGAAATGAAAGCCAGTAGAAACGATACCAAGTATCTTGGTAGTTCAAACGTGCCTCCTCCATCTCTCCCTGCTGAAAGGAGAGCAGTGTGCCTGTTGTTCCTCCACCCTTTCCTCCCGTTAAGGTCATTCTTTCTCATGCATTCAAGGAGCCAGGTCCTGAGAGGAAGGTTTTCCTCCAGTTCCTCCAGGAAATGTGGGGGGAACACCCCAAGATTATTTTCCATCCACACACTTCTCTGGCCCATGTCTTCCATGCCCAGTGTGAAATGTCTGCTCACCATGCGTGGTCCTCTGTATTTCTGAGAGCTGTATTGTTCTCCCTACTCCTACTTTGTGAACGAAGACAGCCCCTTTCAGGGCTTCACCTTTGCTGCTGAATTTCCAGAACCATGGAAACCTTTTTTTGTTTATTTGTTTAAAAGTAATTCTGAAATATCTCTCATTTTCAGTTTATCATTCTGAGAATATTTTATAAAGATGACAAATGTGAAAAATTCAAATCCTCAAATCATAAATCTATATTAAATATCAGTTAATAAAAATGAAAAGTTCATTTTTGTGTTGTATGGCTGTTACTACAAACACCTCTATTTTTGAAGAGTTCCAAGAACAATTTGAATTTATTTTGACTCTCTCAATCACAAAGTTCACTTTATCAACTGGGCTCTATAAAAATCTTACTTAATAAATGGGAAATGAAGTGCATGAATTCAAATAAACTTCTGCCGCCGGGTGTAGAGGCACATGCCTGTAATCCCAGTACTTGGGAGGCTGAGGCAGGAGGATCACTGTGAGTTCGAGACCAGTCTGGGCTACATAGGGAGTTCCAGTTCAGTCTCAACTACATAGTGACACTCTGTCTCAAAAAACCAAAACCAAACAAACAAACAAAAAACAAATAACCTTCTGCCTTGGCTCAGTGGGATTTTCTCTAGTTGGTTTTTATGCCTTGGGAAAACATCCGGGGCTAAAAGTACAGTAAGATTTAGCAATAAACTGAATCTTTTGGTTCTCAAGAACCAGGTGAATAAGAAAGACTCAGGGTAATTGATTAGATTGTAGCTTCTTTCAGGAAATTTAAGGTGTAAAAGTCATAATCAATAGATTCAATTTTTGGAGCAGGTAATCCTTTAGTTTTTCCAAAATAGCTGAGATAAAAATAAGCCCCAAGTGGAAGAGTAGGGGAAAGGAAATAAGGGACAAGAAAAAATGAGAAAAGGAAAAAATGGAAACAAAGTCTTTGGAAATAGGGGAGAGTAGAGGGGTGAAGGGAGGGCAGGGGAATGGGGAAAAAATGAGAACCAAGATCTGCCATGTAAGGGTACACGATCCCAGTGATGAATGTAACTGTACTGTATATATTTAAAAAGTACCGATAAACACAGTAAGATTAAAAAAAAAAAACCTAAGCCTAGAAAAAGAAGCATAACCATTCCTTAAAATTGTATACTATGGCCATTTTGAATACTGCATGCTAATATGGTTGATTTTAAAAATATTAACATGAAAAATTGATAACATTTAATTTTATTCATTTACTATTACTGTTTTTGTTTCACCTTTTAAGAGAAAATAACAATTTTTCCCTAGTTTTTACCAGAGGTTTATTAAGACATGCTGAAATCTATGATTCTTTTAATAAGTAGCCCTACTTAAAAACTTCTAAAAGGTTTGACTATAAAAGTAAAATAATACACAACAAAGTGACAACTTCATAATAGATGACTAATGTAATAAAACTTTATCTTAGTAAATAAATATTTCTGTTTCTATCTAAGATAGTATGCAACAAAAGTTTGAAAATATTTAAAAACAAATTTTACAGGCTACAAAAATTCTGTAACTTTTCAAGAACATGTAATCTGAAATCTCCAACTATAAAAACTGTTAATGTGAGGAAAATACAAATAAGTGAGAACTTTACAAATGTATATAACAGGATACCAAAAATTCATTAGTTACGAAAAAAATTAAGAGATTCAGGGACCATGCATTTCCAGGGATATGAAGACAGAAACTGAATGGAAATCCCAAGATAACTATTCTAGCTAAATTGCAGAATGGGTTTATAAAGTGATTTCAGTAAGGTTGTAATGCTTGGGTACACTTTGTTTCTCCGAGTGTTCTCTTCTATTTAAAATTTGGTCTCCAAGAAAGAACAGCTGGGTGTGGTAAAAGGAAGCCTGTAATCCCAGCACTCTATCAGTCTGAGGTGGGAGGATTGAAAGTTTGAACCCAGCCTGTGCTACATAGAAACACTCTGTCTCAAAAAATGAAAAATTAGCTGGAGATGCAGCTTACTATAAAAGCTCTGGGTTCAAAAGTAAAAAAAAAAAAAAAAAAAAAAAAAAAAAAAAACCCAAAAAAAAAAAAAAAAAAAAAAAAAAAAAAACCCTGAAAAAAATGAAAAGCAAAAAGGTCCATAATCTGAATGATTAGAAAAATATAAATTGAAAGTATAGTAGGTTACCATGACTCTTAAAAAATAGTTCAAATGTAAAATATTCATAATATCAATTTGAAAAAATTAAGTATTGTGTTTATTGACAATCAATACAATCACTCTAGAAAAGTGTTTTTGTAGAACCTACAAGACTAAGTACCTAACCACCCTATAATGCCCTAGTTCACATCCTAGGCATATATTAAAGAGAAATGAGTGCATATGCCCATTAAAAGATAAGAATGTCCATAACTGATTTATTTTTAATGTTCAAAATCTGAAAAAATCCAAAAGTTCTAATCATACAACACCACCCAATCTGTAATTATAAATGCAAGAAAGCACATACATTTCAGATGTTTAGATTTTTTTTTTGTAGTGGGGCTCGAACTCGGGTCCTTGCATTTGCAAGGCCAGGCGCTGGAACCACTGAGCTAAATCCTCGGCCGTTAGCTCTATTTTTAAGACAGTCAAGAAGAGGCAAAAAGAAATCAGAAGAGTGGCATTTGAGGAGGTGGTACTGTCTGCAAAGGGCGTGACAGAACATTTTGGAGAGCTAGCATTTTCTCTGTCTTCATCTGAGAAGATCACAGTCTACAACACAGTACAACAAATTGCTGAACACAGAACAAATTAAAGAGAAAATTCAATGAAATTCATTAAAACTTAGATTAATGTTGTTTACCATTACTCTATCAGTGATGGCGAACCTTTTTACACCTGTCAACAGCAACAAACAGTCTGCTGTGGCGCACGGGCCACAGGTTCACCACCATGGCTCTAACCGTGACTTACAGTAAAGGCTGGGACAATGCACTGACTTTTAAGTATCTATATTTACTTTATTTTTTGGTACTGGGGATCAAATTCGGGTCCTTGCACTTACAAGGCAGGTGGTGGAACCACTGAGCTAAATCCCCGGCCCTATATTTACTATTTATTGACAAAAAGATTGCTAACATTTGGAATTCAGAAAGTGTTAACAATCTAACCACGAACCCATCAGATACTTATTTTTAAAATACTAGCATAAAAGTTTTGTCTTGGACTGGTCTAAGTGAAAGGTATTATTAAATAAAATATTTACTTGTATTGCTTCTTAGATGCATCTTTAGTTTTAAAAATAAAACACTATATAAAAGCAGCTGGTTTACTCTCTTGATTTATTGTAAGCATTAAAAGTTATGACTAAAAATGGCACACTGGGGGGTTTGGTGTTTCCTGACACTACGAATAGTTAAAAATAAATTGGCTTTATTATCCAGGAAAAAAAAAGTGTATTTCCACAGTTGAAAATATTTTTTTTAAATGTTGAGAGTAAAATAATCTAATACACAATTTTTGACAAAGAAATGAGGCAACTTTAGATCTCTCTCTCTCTCCCTTTCCTGCACTCTATTTGAGTGTATACTTGAAATTTCTGCCTAATACATCCCTTTATGTCTCTTCAAAAAAAAAAGAGGCAACATCAAATTAAAACTACAAATTTAAATTAAGTGATTTTATAAAATATTGAAAACTAGCTAAAATTACATGCATAAGGCATTTAATCAATAAGAGAAATTGCAGTAAAATTTAAATATGATAGGATTTATCAACAATAAATAAACATTTTTAGTGCAAATAGTGCAGAAAAATTCCTCAAAAGATCATACCAATCATTCTAAACTATACAAAATCAGTCTCCGTTCCATATACAATTTATATAGTACTGTATATCTGTGAATTCAGCCAATGTGATGAAATGCCAACTTGCGAATCATAAATATAAAACAATGTGCTTAGTTTTGTGTCCCATTTTTCTTTTGGCAGTTCATGTTTTCGGGAAAATCTGGAAAGAAAGGAAAATTTTAGAAATCAGACTTACATGATAAATTTTCATCCTTTTATGTTCTTTTGCAATTAAAATTAACATAAGATAATTTGATTAGGAGGGAATGGAGTAAGGAAAGGATTTTAGTGTGGTCATATAAGCATTTTTCAATGTTGATTTCTTTTTAAAGCTGTGGAGAATGCAAATTTGCCATAAAAATCAGCCCTACACTTAAGAAGATTCCCCTACAAATCTTGAAAAATATAAAACAATTTGTAACTGGCAGTAATGTGAAGTACAAGGGGCGGATGAATTTGAGCTGGAGATAAGAAATATCACTTCCTTTCCTGGAGCATACTTCCTTTTTGAGGGGACTTTCCATGTTCCTTTTTAAAGTCCAGTTGGCTAGGCAGAGGACCACATAATATCAATCTCCACGTCAAACTCATTAGGTCAGGATGTATATCTCTTTTCCTGAAGATTTGTGTTAGAACTCCAGAGACTCTTGTTAGACTCCACTGGCTGCCTGAATTGTCAGATGATATAATCGGACTGTGGGCAGCAATGATGGAGGGTGCTGAGATCATGTGCCTAGCATTAACAAGGCTCTGGGCTTGATCCCAGCACCACAAAAAAGAAAGAATAAGCCTCAGAAAGAGAGTGAGAAAGAGATACCATTTCAGTTATTGAGTAGCTTCTAAGGCTTTTACTGTCAGGTGACTGAGCTGTATTTTATTTGTTTGGCTCTATAACGTATCCCTGAATTATCAAATAATGCTGGTTTTATTTTGGCTTGCTAGGGTAAGATTTGTCCTTGCAACCAGTCATTCTTAAAGCAAAACAGATGGAGAGGGAAAGGAAAAAAGTCTTGAGATCAGGTGAGCGCATAAACAATGATGGGTAGAAGAAAACACATGACATGTAAGATAACACAAGGAGAAAATGGAAAATTAAAATGAAAGATCTGAACTATGTGACAGATTATAACATTTTAAAACTTTAGAGAAATTTGGCACCTATACTGTCCTGCCTAGTGTCTCACCATAGGTTTTTCAGTAGAGAAACTTTACAACACTAGTGGTACTTTAGGGAGATCACTTTGCTAATTCTGTGCAGGAAGAACACTAAAGTCAGGAAAATTGGCCAGAAAATTACTGGAGTACTCTGGGTATGCGATGAAAAAAAGACAGACTGAAAATTAATTTTAAAGGAAGAAATAAGACCACTGAATATGTCAGCCAAAGGATATGGTATTTGCTATACAACAGCTGGGAGAAAGGAACTAATTATAGTTAGAAATCCTACTCACCTAAGCCAATATCCAGAAGATTACTGGTTATATGCTTATTTATGTAACATTATGTTTAATATAATATAAAACACATATGTTACAGAACATAATAGCTCTAATGATAGAATTACTCTTATAGCTGTCTAAATAAGCATTGTTAAGGACATTTCAATTCAAAACTACTTATACAAGAAGTTTGAGACTTGTACACTTACCTATAGAGGGGCGTGAAAATGGCTGTGCATTGCAATCACCTGTTGAAGTTTCTCTTCCTTGGCTCTTCTACAATGGCAAATCTAGAAGATAAATTATTTAAAATATCAGTCATTTCTCCAAAAATATGTCTACTACTTTCAATGTTATAACAAAATTCTAAGTCAGAAACTTTTAACTTGCTGGCGTTACTTCAACTTTTAAACGTTGAAGGCAGCTAATAGTTCCTATAAAAGAAGCATGAAAGTTTTGTGGAAGATAATCTTTACCTTCAAAGTAAAACAAACTCTGATCCTTTATATCAATTCTCTGAGTATTTAATTCCAAATTTCTGTGTTTTTAAGATATGGCAAAAATCCTGTTCTTGTTAACCATGAAGATAAATAAAAATTTCAAGTCATAGTATAGAACAATGTACCGAAATCAATGACTTACTTACACTGCAACATATGCAAGTCACTATCTCACTGAACTTTTTCACTCACAAAAAATGGAGATAAATCTGCCTTCCACCTGCCTTATTATAATACGTATGTCACATATATTTTATAAAATGTACTAAAGATTATTTTTAAAGAGTGATGTTTCAGAGAAATTAGGTAAATATTCAGGACTCTATTAAAGGACACTATTTTGATTTTTCTTTAGAAACTATAGAAAAAAATGAGCAGAACAGAAACTATTCCAGAATGTTCTGCATATTTTTAAAGTTAATTTTTAATCTTAACATTTTATTGTCTCTTTAAACAATTTATAAAACAGGCTGTTATTCTGAAGTATGCAACAACCATTAAAACCAGACCTATGCTAAGGGCTGGGCATTTATAGTTCAGTGGCACCACACCTGCCTCCCAAGTGCAAGGTTCTGAGTTCGATCCCCAGTACCAAAAAACCCTCCAAAGAATACAAATAAACAAACAAAAAACCAGACCTACGCTGATTTACCAACTACTACAGAGTGCTACAGTTACCACCATTTCTGAAATAGAACTATTACATTATTTGATTTACCTGCTTGTGTATTCAATACAAGCAGGTTTAAAGTGACAGTGGAATGTCACTATCCTTCCCAATAAAGGCTCTTCAGATTCCTCTCATAGCACTCAAATCTCCAGCTCAGTAACATGCTCAAGTTTTTTACTCAAGAGTGTACTTAAGTAATTTGATATTATGTTGTCATTCATCCTCAACTGAAGAGTATTACATACTGTTCTCTTTTCCATGAAGCTACTCAGAAAATCATCTATTTCAGTTTTTCCTTCCAAGAAATCTTCAGCAATATTATCAGATTCTTCCTCAGCTTCATGTGCAGCTACTTTCAATCTTGCCTGGAGGGTACTTGCACTACAGCTCTGAAAACAAAAATAAAAAACCTGCCAGTCATTATATTAGTTTATAATACTCAAACTCTTAAGAGGGAAAGAAATGAGGCAGAAGAATGGAGAAGCAATTTGTTATATGCTGTATATAACCTCTCCTTGTGAAAAATCTATCTTTTAAAGCCCCCACTCAGGTCTTCAGCTTTTGCATATGATGCAGACATAGAAACCAAACCACTGGCTACAAACTATTGAATGAAAACTGCGCAAATCACTTCTTTTCCTAGGGATTTTGGAATTCAATGATTGTGGAAGGCACCCACTAAGATGACCTCTGTGACCCCTATTTCCTGGTATTCCTGTTCTTGTTTAATCTTCTCTCTGGGGTGTGGGCTAGACATTTACTTCTTTTTTTTGGAAAAATTATCTTATTTAAACAAGTAAAACCATGTTAAGACACCAATGCAAGAGCTGTTACCTAAAACTTGACAGTTAAGATTTTTCTTTTACTGTGCTGGGGACTGAAACCAGGGCCTCCTGCATGCAAGGCCAGCACTCTGCAACTGAATTATGTTTCCTGCCGCACAGTTAAGATTTCCTTAAAGCTTGCAAGAGAATGGAAAATAAATCTTCAGTCTGCTGGCTCTTTAATCCACACTGCTCCATCAGTTTTCTGCCTTTTCTCTACCTTTTATTGTTGTTAAGATGCTCATGCCTCTTTCTTCAGGTCTCTTGAGTCACTTTCACAAACCAGTATTTTTGGAGTAAAAGTTTTAAGAATAAATGAAGAGTGATGCATGTTACATTCCAGACAACTGCATCAGAATCGGATTGGCAGCATTAGGAAGTTTTTCATTTGATTCCAAACTTAGAGAAATAAACCTGTGAAGATTAACTGGTTCATCATCTCTAGCACTTTTGCAGACACAGTGAGCCTCATGTTCCTTGAGCCTTTTGTTTGGAATCACATGAGAAGCACTATATTTGCATTTAGCCATCTTTTTAGCTATGTTTGGATTTTTCTTTATTGCATGACGCCAGGTGATACCGTAACCTGCTGGCTGGCATCCTGTGGGTTGGGTTATAAGGACACACTTTTAAGACTTCTGGCTCCATGATGCTTTGAGAAGGTTGGTACTGTTTTGCTGCTCAATGGCCTAGAGATTCACTTCTAATGAACAGAATATATCAAGAATGATGGGACTAAATTAAACCTGTGGTGGAAGACACTCTGGTAGAAGGCTGAAAGCTACAAAACGCTATTGAAAAAACTGAAATCCATAAATGAATGGAAAGACATTCCATGTTCATGGGTTGGAAGACACTGTTAAGATGACAACACTCACCAAAAGTGATTTAAAAATTAAAATCTAGCAATATTTTTTATAGAAACAGAAAAACCCATCCTAAAACTCATATGGAATCTCATGAGACCAAATAGCCAAAGGAATCTGGAAATAAGAACAATGTTGGATGATTCATATTTCCTAGTTTCAAAATTAGGTTACAAAGCTTCATTAATTGAAATAGTATGATACTTGCATAAGAACATATAGACCAATCGAATAGAAGAGAGAGCCAGAAAATAAACCCTCACATACACAATAAATGATTTCTGGCGAGAGTGTCAAACCCCAGTCAATAGGGAAAGGAAAATATTTTTAGCAAGTGGTGCTGGAAATGCTGAATATCCATGTGCAAAGGAATGAAATTGGACCCTTATCTTACTTAATAGTCGAAAATTAACCCAAAGTGGACTCAAGACCTAAATGTAGGAAATAAATTATTTCTATTTTTTTTTTTTTTTAAAGTCAGGGTCTCACTATGTAGTTCAGATTGACCTTGAACTATGTAGCCCAGGCTGGCCTCAAACTCATGGCAATTATCCTGCCCCCCAACTATGTAGCCCAGGCTGGCTTTGAACTCCTAGCAATCCTCCTGCCTCAGCCTCAGTCTTACGTGCTGGGATTACAGGCATGCACCACCACACCTGGCTTGGTTATATATCTTTACAAGTCTGGCTCACATGGGTGATGTTTTAATTTGCTTCTGAAAATATTACAGTGAAGTATAGCATATTTTCAGATGTTTCCTTTTACTTAAATATTATTAAGTACCTACTATGTGCTAAGCTCTGGACCAGGTTTTGGGACTTAAACAAGACAAATCCTTGCACTCATGTAACCTACAGTCCACTGATGAGGTTTTTACACCTGAGAGTATAGAGGATTCATTTTTTTTTTTTTAGAGGATTCATTTTCATCAGACTTAAGTGAGCACATGTAGAGAGTACTTCTAGAGAGAAGACCAAAATTCAAGGTAGATTTTGTTTTTCAATTTTTAAATGTTTCAATAATCACTTCAGCAATTCTTATATATAAATGTTCAAGGGTAAGAATAACTGTTATGGAGAATACTTATTGGACATTTGTATTTTCCTTTGGTTAAGTTTCATGTTCTCTCCTTTGCTTTTTATAGACTAGCACTAATATTTGTGTTATATATGCTAGAAATGTGTTGTTTTGTATTTCACTTTCAATTTTATGATTTTTAATGCTTATGTTATATATCTGTATATACTCAAATATCTCAGCTTTTTCCTCTATGTTTCTGGCTCTTCTTATGCTTAGAAAAATTTTTTCCATCATAATCTTTAAAAAAACCTGCAGGGCTATTAACTTTTTATGGTTTCCACTGAAAACAGTATCTGTAATACCTTTCTATGCCCTTAATGCTATAGGGATCTAACATTTTTTAGAATGGATACTGAATAATCAATTATATAATTTGTTGAGTCCTCAATTTTCTCCAGTGATTATTCACAAGTCTATCTCTGAATTGCATAGCCTTTTTTAAAGAATAATTTTTTTTACTGCAAAACTACCATTTTAAATAATGAGGTTTTACAGTATATTTTGATATAGGAAAAAGAATGTCATTCTCTCATTTCTTTTTGCTCAACCTCTTCCTACTTAATCTATTTAGTTTTCAGATAAACTTCAGAATAAATCTGTTAAGATATTTAAAAAATACTTTTGGGATTTTAATTGGAAATGTATTGAAAATTTTTAAGTTTTTTTAGGAAGAATGAAATCTTTGTAATACTCTACTTTTTATTTTATGGATATTCTACGTTGCTCTAAAAAAGTCTGCTTTAATTTCATTAAGTTTCTCACTGCATTGAGTTCATTTTTAGGCATTTTATAGTTTCACTGATGTTGCAAATAATGTTTTGCTCTATTCTTTCAGTAGTAATAGCTGGAACATAGGGAGACTTTTCTCTGGATTTTTTTTTTTTTTTTTGGTACTGGGGATCAAACTTGGGACCTTGTGTTTGCAAAGCAGGAGGCAGAACCCAGGTTCTCTCTAGGATTTTTCATTGATTTTTTTGGTAAACAACTGTTTTACCCCTTCATTTATAGTGTACCTTTTCTTTTTCTTGTTGTGTTGCAGTGTTTTCCTAAGCAATGTTTCTTCTCTGTGATAATGGGTCATTACTCTCTTATTCCTAAGGTTGGCAAGATACTGCAAATACTTAGGCATTAGGTATGATATTTACTGTTGGCTTCTAATCTTTTTATTAAATAAAAATTAATTTATTTTTGTAGTTTACTAGAAGTTGGTGTCAGGAATGATGTTGACTGCTGTGAAAAGATTCTTCAACACCTACTGAGCTCTGCTGTGTACTGAAGAATACTTCAGCTGATGCTCACAGGGGTTCTGGGGTTTAATCCTGAATTCTAATACTTCCTATTTATATGACATCAAGAAACTTATTCAACCTTTGCGTGCTTTGGTTTCCTCTTCTGTGAAATGGAAAATAGGGGGAAAAAACTACTTTATAGGGGATGGGGTAATAATGGGCCAATATGTACAAGTAAATTGCCTTGCACTATATAAAACATATATTGATTACTAAATATGAGCTATAAATATTTCTTTTATTGTAAGAAATGATCATATGTAAAATTCATAAATTTATATTCTCTTTTAATATCTTTTGTACTGTTGTTTGTTTTACTTCTATTTTATGATATATTATAGGTCTTACCTTCCAAAATTTAATTCTAAAAGAAACATTAATGATAATGTTGTCTTTTTTTTAAAATTTTTTGAGACAGGATGTCACTATATTGCTCAGGATGGCCTTGATCTCACTATGCAGCCCCGCCAGTCTTAAACTCACAGTGATCCTCCTCCCTCAGCTTCCTGAGTGCTGGGATAAGCCTGCATCAGTGCACCTGGTCCTCCCTTCTTTTTTATTTTTAAAAGATTTTTTTCACAAATATAGCTTACATTTTATAAAATAGTTTTCATATGTCATACTTTTTCATTTGCTAGCTTATCTTTTTTTTCTTTTTTCTTTTTTTGGTACTGGAGATGAAACTCGGGACTTTGTGCTTGTAAGGCAGGTGGTGGCACCACTGAGCTAAATCTCCAGCCTAGCTTTTCATTTAAGGTATATGAACTTCTACAAGTGAGACTAAAGTTAAAGTTGTTGTTACAAGGGTTACACAGCTTCCATAACTCACTCAGAAGTTATTTATGAGAGCTTTTCAAGTTTTTGTTTTAGAATCAGATATGCTCTTACATGAACACACTGATTTATATAACTTCATAACTGAGAGCTGTTTATCTACATTTGAAGGAACCAAGTCTTATAAAATCAGATGCTTAACAAATGGTTTCTGATAATAATGAGTAAAAATTTGGCCCATGGACTTAGCATTCAAAGTTCTTATGGGAAAAGAAAACAACTAGACAGCCTTACCTCACTAAGTTCATGCTGCCTTTGCATCTTCTTTTCAAAAGCAGATTTCATTTGTGTAAGTAACTCATACTAAAGAAGAAAATAAAAAATACCGTTTAATTCTATTTTTAAACTGTATAAATGCCTTCACAATAATCACCAACTCACCTTATCTAAAACACATTGCCTTTTTGCTTCTAAGCTGGGTTCCAAAAGGAGATTTTTTCCTGTAAGGTAAATCTCTGGTTTATTTATAGGTAATCATATTTTCCCCCCTCAATACATGCAAATTGAAGGAAAGGAAGACATACTTGCTAATTCCTCAATACTTTTTACTAAGTCATCCTTGTCAGTAATAATTTGTTTTAGTTGAGGCAAAGTCAGGAACTGTTCTAGTAATACCCCCTCTTGTTCATTCATATCTGTGAGTTGTGACACACTAGAAACACATAAGAAAAAAATACTGTTAGAGAATATCATTCATCTAGTCTTCCTCCATGATAAATACAAATAATTTTCAGTGTTATTTAGTTGATAAAGTTCTAGATAATTTTTACATAAACATAAAAGGCTACTTGTAAACCTAAGAGCAAATTACACATCAGTCAGTATAACAAAGCAGTCTATACATTCTGTTTTGGGAAGATACTTCAAAGGGGAGCAGCTGGGTCAAATGGAATTTCTAGTTTAGTTTTATTGACATACAGGGATGCCCATTTTATAGCAGCACAATTTATAATAGCTAAATCTTGGAAGCAGTCTGGGTAAAGAAAATGTGGGGTTCATAAATAACGGAGTACTATTCAGCCATAAAGAATAAACCTGAATCATCTGTAGGAAAATGGTTTCATCTTGAGACCATAACGTTAAGTGAAATAAATCATATACACAAGCTTAATTAATTACCTAACTCTTACATAAGAAACCTGAAATATAAATAAAGAGCAAAATGAAAGATAGATAATAGAAAATAGGGAGATAGATCTTTTGCAGATGGGAAGGAGATCAAGAGATGGAGGGAAGGTGGGGGAGGCATGAAAAAAGCATTAAGATATGCACATGTACCAACTGTCCATGAGGAATGTAGTCATTATGTACTGCAAACATACACTAACAAAACAATTGGAAAAAAACCCCCAGATTCTCAACAGAATCTGAAGAAGTAAAGTCTGATACACCAATACATTTACTTAACTGTGAAGCCAGGCATGGTTGGTGCATGCCTGTGATCCCAGCACTTGGGAGGATGCAGCAGGAGGATTATCACAAGTTTAAGGCTAGTCATGGCTACACAGTGAGTTCAAGGCCTCCCTGAACTACAGAGGGATACCCTGTCTCAATAAATAAATAAAATAAATAAATAAAAAGTATGTAAGTGAGTGACAACTGTAAGGAAGTGTTCACCATTACACAGTGGCCTAAAACCAACAATCCAGTCTATTTAACTCAGGCAAAGAAAACAAAGGATGAAACTGTGTTATGGTTTAGATACAAAATTTCCTCTCACAGTTTTGAGTTGGGGCTTTTGGAAGATAGTTGCATCATGGGGGTGCTATACACATCAGTGGACTGATCCAATGATAAGCTCATAGCTAAAAGTGCTTTTTAGGAAGTGAGTCCTGGGTGTCACTAGGTGAGGTACCTTTGGAAGGTATATCTCTGTCCCTGGTGCCTGCTTCTCTCTGCTTTCTGGCTGCCATGAAGAAAGGAGCTTTCTTCCACCATATCTTTTCTAGTTTGGAGCCAGCCTACCATGGACACAATTCCCCCAAATTAAACTCCTCCTTTACATTGTGGATGTTGAGTATTTTTTTCCCCAGTCAGGTATCTCCCTAATTCAACTGAAGCTCCTTAAAATATGAAAGCAGAAATATAGTTAGATACTTTTTCTTAATTCTGCTTGACTGCTTAGATTATCACATTTATACAATTTCCTAGTTAGGAACTAGTCTTAATGATTTGTAAACTTAAGATATTTAAAAGTTGACACAGACACACATGTCTGCAATCCCAGCACTCTGAGGAACTGTGGGAGAATCACAATTTCAAGCCTAGCTTAGGCAACCTAGTAAGATCTTGTCTCAAAATATATAATAATAATGATAATAATAATAACAACAATTATGATAGGGATTTAACTCAGTGGTGCTGCACCTGCCTTGTAAATGCAAGGTCCTGAGTTCAATCCCCAGTAGAGGAAAAAATAATAATAGGGGCTGGAGATGTAGCTCAATGTGAAGGCTCTGAGTTCAATCCTCTGTACCAGAAAAAAAAAAAAAAAAAAAAAAGGCTATGTATTTCTTCCAGATATAATACTGAACATACCAATATTGTATCAGATTTAAATAAGTAAAAGTCTATGGACAGGCTATTCTCTCCTTGCATTATGTGTTGTTAGGAGGTAAAAAAAAAGTTAGAAAAAAACAAAACAAAAACAAAATAGTATAATTTTGGTTTGTAAGAAACTTTCATAGGAGACTCTTCTACTATCAGCTCGAGACCTGGTCAGTGCCTGATTCCAGATCCACACTGGCCAAACATGGTCAATAAAATCTCCCTAGATTTTACAAGGTAAGTAGTCTGTGCTACTGTATCAAATTACTGTAAGACTACAAAGGTAGAGTGCATGAGCAACCATAACAACTTCCCATTTTCATTTCTTTATAGCTAACAGACAGATGGCTGTCACAGTAAAAGCTACAGATACATATATGTCTATCTATATATGTGTACATGAATTCATAAAAAAAATAATGGAATTTTAAACCAAAACCAAAAATGGACATCTAGGGTGAAAGAGAAAGCTAGGTAGAGGGGACACAGATGAAAATATATTTTGAATATATCTTGTAGTTCTGACTACAGAAACATATAAAAACATTACCTATTTATAAAAAATAAATACAAAAAGGGAATAAAAGCGGCTTCTATAATTCAAAATAGTCTGTTTTTTTCTAAGGCATTTAATCATCCAGAGAAGTATTATTTGAAGAGACTTACTAAAAACCAGTATTTGATTGTACATTGTGGCAAGATATATTCTTAATACAAAATATCTATAAAAAGCAAAAACAATAGATTAAAAACAACTTAACCTACACTCAATAATCTTAGTAAAAATATTATTATTTTGAAAAAAAACAAGTGCCCTTTCAGAGAAATGGATGATTCCAAGTATGGGAAAAGAAAAGCTCATGCTCAGCTCATGGTATTTTCTTATGGCCTGAAATGATATAGGAGCCGATTTAAGTTTCACTCATAAGGACAACTTCTGGACCTTACTGGTACATCAGCTCATTGTGAGTTAAAAAATAAAAGGAAAAAGGTATTCATCCTGTTTTTCCAGTAATGAAGTGTATTTCAGTATAACTAGTTGATTAAGGAAAGCCCTTCAAAAACAAATCTGGCTAATAAATTGAGGCAGTAGGATCAACAAAATTGGAAAAATCACATTTGTAACTCTTAATAAAATTATTGGCCAATCATTTTAGGGTCTTCAATCCAATCTAATCCCAAGTCATTATAAATAGGGCAACCAGACATTGTTGTTGCCTTATATGATGTCATAAGAAGTGTGCACTAATTAGCAAAAGGATTGAACCTAAATCTAATCAATATCCCATTTCTAGCCACCAATAGCATGAAATATGGGAATCTTCAATGATATCACAAAGATCAATTAGGCAAAAACAGGATATGCGAGAATCTCTAGGACAAATGACCAATGTCTTCAAAAATGTATAACAATGCATGTATGTGTTTGTATGTATGTATGTATATATATATGCGTATATACATGTAATATTTATAAATACATGTGTGTGTCAATGTGTGAGTGTGTAAAAGGTGGAGAAAAATGATTTATGATTAAAAAAAATAAAGCCAGTATTCAAGTGAAATATTTGGGCCTTGTTTTGAATTCTGATTGAAACAAACTACTAATGAAAAGGTTTAAGATCCTGGAAAAATCAGATAATATTGAATAATTACTATTAATGTTATTAAGATAAGATGATGACTTTGATTGGGGTTATGGAAGAGAGAGACAGAGAGAGACCAAACTTACTCAGTGCTTGCTTTGTATTTACTCAAGAATTTATGGATGAAAATAATACAGGATCTGGATTTGCCTGATTCACAAAAGCCCACAGCTGCTTAAGACAGCCACAGAGAAGAGGAAATATATAAAACAAAGAGTTTCTTACCTGTTGGTGCTGAATGATGACTACATGGAGGCTCATTATACTATTCTCTTTACTTTTTTGTAGTTGTGATAGTTTATAAGTTCTTCAAAACAGAAAAATACTTTTCTTTTAATTACTGGGTATTGAACACAGGGTCTTTGCACTGAGCTACATTCTCAGTTCTTTTTTATGTTTCACTTTGAGACAGAGTCTAAATTACACTGGGTAATCCTCCTGCCACAGCCTCCCAGAAGATGCTGGAATTACCAGCACATATAATCATGCCTGGTTTAAAGTGGAACTTTTGAAAGGGAAAACAGAAAGATAATCTTTTATAAAATGGGAACTCCAACCTAATGGGATTGTTGTGAGCATTATAATTCTTACTAAACCCTGAAGATGCATGTAGTATACTATAAATATCCATTAACTTTTATTAGCAAAAAATAATAAATTGTTGTATTCTAAAAAACAAATGCAAATCCTTGAGTTGAATAAAGATAAACTTTTTCTTTTAAATTATAGAATTTATCATGGACATTTGGCTGTACAAGCCTGGTAAGAAATATTTCTAAAGACAAAAAAAAAAAAAAAATCCTGCAAAAAATTTAATTATATTTGGTATAATATCCTTTTGAGGAACATAAACCTAAGTTGGGGTACAATCGAAGGGATACAATGCTTCCCCAAATTGGATGGTCATAATTTGCTCATGAAGCATCTCAGAGGATCTGTGTTCCCTGAACAATGGTACCTTAAGTTGAATATTACCACTTATTTGCCGTAAATTTGGGCTCTGTAGAAACAGCTAGCTAATTAATACCTATCAGTAACTTTTAATCTATTTCTCTATGTACAAAGTTTATCTACTAAAAGGAACAATGGCAGATCTAATACAAGATATACTTTGATCAGGAACACTGTATTCAGAAAGTTTTCAAAGAATGCAAGTCCTATGTGAAAAAGGACTTGTTACTTCAGTAACCATTATATCATTCCTAGCATTAGGGTATAGACTAGTCATTCAAAAAATACAACCTATTAGACTTAAGACTAACTTATAAAACTTTCCCACCAAGATAATTACAGTATAGGAATAGTGAGGATTTAGAAAAATCTTTTTATTTATCATGGATATAAAATGATAATTTGGTTTACATTTGCAAACAAAATACACAACCATCTCAGTTTTGCTCTCCAAGGTTTTTACCTTAGTTCTGAGAGTTCTGGAAATGCATCAGGGACATCTGGCATCTTGTAACCAAAACCATTTTGGCTTATCTAAAGAAGAGTATTTGAAGGGTATTAAATTTCAGCCATCTTTTTGATTCCACCCACATACTTATGAGGCAGGTGGTGGAACTGTTCAGTTAAATCCCCAGCCCAGCCCACCCTCCCACTTACTTATAAAAGTAATTTAAATGTACTACATCCCCAAACTATTTTTGTTACTACATCTTCATCTTTGTATTTCCCATTGTCCTTATGCTCCCCACTTCTTCCTTTATACAGGTAAGGTTACATTTTTAACTCCTTTTTTTGTTAAATTAGGACCTTAAAAGAGTATTAGCTCTTTTTGGTCAAGTGTATAGCTATAAAATAAACCACAAGTGCATCTGTGACAAATGTGAAGAATTATCTATAGATTTCATTATATAGACGAATATATTTTTCTTGAGTGAAATACATCAAATATCCAAAAACCTCAATAAATTGTCAGTAGTCTGAATAATTATATATCTAAATTAAATGAAAGAGGATAATGAGAAACACACTATCCACTGAATACATGTGATTTTTTTGTTCTTAGTGTTGAGAGGTTGTTTTGTAATTTTGTTTATACTAGTTGTAGTTTGTTCACAACATTAATACAATGATGAAAAATTCTGAAAAAAGTCCTCTTCAGTTTATATATTAAATGATTATAAACTCTGAAATTAGTAATGTTGGATATACTAAAGTTTTACAATGCTTAAGGATAACTATGGGTTATATTCACTATGGGTTAAAATTAAAAGTTCTTAAATACTTTAAAATATTTTATGCACAAAGTATTAGTATTTCCCTTTGTAACATCTCACACTGAAGTTACAAGCTTCAAAACATATGATTTTTAAATAATGGGGTGCTGAAAGCACTTACTATGCTATGCACACCCTCCTCAATCTCAGATATGCTTCTCCTACATAATCATGTCTTGTGCCTTTGCCTATGCCCTTCATCACAGCCAGATTATGGGTGGCTTTACAAAAACACCATCTGGTTTACAGTGCACTGCCTTTGTTAATGTTACTTCCTTGCATAAAATGTCTTCTATAAACTCATTATTCTTGCAAATCCATAACTATCTTTCAAAATCTGGCCTCCAAAATGGAGTATAGTGATATATGCTTATAACCATAGCTGCTTGAGAGGATGATTGAAAGTTTGGAGCAAGCCTGGGCTAAAAAGCAAGACTTCCTCCCCATTCTGGCCTCAAACATAAATGTATTCATTCATCTACCTCACTGTTACTGAGCATCTGCTATTTTACTACATGAGGTTTGAGGCAATAGGGATGAAAAAGTGGTAAAACAAAAAATCAGAATTACTTTTTTAAAAAGGCATCCCTACTAGTTCTATCCTGATCTCTGGGAACAATGACCATTTCCTCAACTACATCTTTACCATAACTCTACACTGTCTCTAGAAATTGCTTATTTGCAATTTAGTTTTTGGTTACCTTTTTGATTTTGATATGCAAGTTGAAAAATGTGATTTAATACTTCTATATTTTGTGCTCAGTTTAAGCTGGCACATAATAATAAATGCTTGCTGACTAAATACATATTTTATGGGTACAAAACAGATTAGTGAAGATACTGACCGGTGCTGAAGTGTCTGTTGTAGGGACAGGCAAAGGCAGACTTGAAAGGATGCCAAATGAAGGAGCAGCAGGCTTGGCTGTGGTATAACTTGTTGTTGAAGAAGAAACAGTGTCAGCAACAGATAAAGAAGTGATAGTCCTGTTAGCTTCTTGTGGAGAGTACGAAGGAAGAAATGGAAAGCGCTGAGATGCATAAGGGGGCATCCCACCTGAGTTACTGTACAAGCTAAAGAGAAGAAAAGAGGAAGTGTTAGGAAAACTACCCATGAATCATTCTAAATAACAATGGTTGTAGATGGAAATCTGTCCTTGGCAGGTTATACTTGTTAAAATTATGACTGATTAGATATTACATAAAGTGATAAAATACAACCCTCCCCCCAAAAGAACTGTAGTTCTTATGAAAAACATAAATGTTCAAGAAAGCATAAAATCCAACTAGTCAGAATTAAAGTAAATTGGGCTGGGAATGTTGCTCAGTGGTGCCGCACCTGCCTGGTAAGAACAAGGCCCTGAGTTTGACCCCTGGTACCAAGAAAAAATAAAATAAAATAAAGAAAGTGAATAGAGAGGCCATTTTTGAGGTTGCAGCATTCCATGCCATTGATCAGTTTCTTTACAGAGGGATAGAGAAATAACATTCAGTTTAGAAAATTTATTTAAGTAGATGCTGCTTAGCTTTCATTGTTTTTGGAAATATCCAACTGACAGCCAAGACTTTTCTAGCAAAGAAAATACTGAAGAAAAATTAAATATGCAGAAGAGCTGCTAAAAGTATTAAAAGTGTTAAAAAAACATACACAAATATTCATATATACTAAAGAGTGACCCAGAATTACATTTTTATGATTTAATCAAAGAATAATGTTAATATGTATTTTTGCAAGATAAATATTTTACATTTAACATTTTTGCCCTAAGTTTAGAAAAAAAAACCAAATTATAAAAGAATTAAGGTAATTCATTCCTAAATGTAGACTGAAAATCATCTAAATATCAATATCTGAATTAACAGTAGGTTCATATGAGTCAGTCACTACTCTTATAAAAAGTAAAGGACTTATAGTTATGTCTTAAACATACTATTAACCATGAAAATATTTCACTTTGTATTGAAACATATTCCAAAATGCATAAAACTTAAATAACTTTTGTGGGATTACTATTATTTCATTTCATGATATAAATTAACCTGAGTTGGAAGTTTTATTGGAAGAAAACATGTATTAGAGATTTGAAGTGTTCACAAGTGATTATGAACATTTTTATGGAAAGATAAGTGAGAGTAGAAAGCAAAAAAATCTGAAAAAGGAGAGTATAGAGTTATTAGCCCTGTCATACAGCAAACTAAATTATAAAGCCTTAATTAATTAAAAGCAGCATAACATAGGTAAATGTATAATTGGAAAAAAAAAGCAGAATCCAAAAAAAGTCTAAATACATATGGGAATTAGGATAGAACAGAGATAGATTCCCCTATAAGTGAATACTAGCCAATAGTTTTGAGCTATTTGGACAAAATCAGAGCCAGATCCTCACGTTTACAGTAAGATAAAAACCTAATGGATCAAGGATTTAATTTTTTTTTTTTTTCAAAACTTTAAAAGAACTAGAAGAAATCTTTTGGAAAGAACTTTGTGTGACACCAATTCAGAAAGTGTAAGAGAAAATAATGATAAATTCCATAGCATGTTGTATGACAAACTCTTTATAAAACTAATAGGGCTGGGGGTTAGCTCAGTGGTAGAATGCTTATCTAGTTTGCCCAAGACCATAGGTTCAATCCCTAACACTATAAAAAATAAGACAAAGGTGAAAATATTTGAAACTCGTCTCACACATAAAGGGATAATTTTTCAAATGTGTAAAGAATTTATACAAATTGATAAAGAACTACCAATCCAATAACAATGTAGAAAACAGAAGGCTATATACAGGTTACAGAAAAGAACATTTCTAAAACAAAGGAGATGCTGAACTTCATTATTAGTAAGCTAAGCATAACTAAAATTATGCTAACATTGGATTTTCTGCCTATAAATAGGCAAAAGTCCATTTTGACAATAAACCACGTTAAAAAAGAGGATGGGGGAAGAGGCACTGTTTACAGAAGCAGAAACTGGTACAACTACTGTCAAAGGCAATTTTGCAGTATTTGTCAAAAGTGTAAATGTGCAGGCTACTTCCAGAATTTATTCAACAAATATGCAAACATCTGGGAGAAATATTAACTGTAGCACTGAGGACAATGAAGAATAGTGAGTCTTTTAGAAAGATTAGAAAAAATAAAAATTGATCAAGGAAATTTTACTAGTAATAAATTATATTGCATCCATCAAAACAAACATTTTGTAGTATTATAAACATTTTAAATTAATTTCTCTGGAATGTTAAGATCTTAAGATTTAAGATGTGGAAAATTAAGATCTAAGAAAACAAAACCAATAAAAAATTGAGGTATTGCCGGGGATTTATCTCAGCGGTTTGGTGGCCTGCCTTGCAAGCGCAAGGACCAGAGTTCAATCAACGGTTAAAAAAAAAAAAAAAAAAAAAAAATTGAGGTATCTATTTGTTCCAGATAAAAGTAAAAATGGTAACATACTTTGCTCAGCAATGAATATTTACAAAGTCAAAGTAATAAAAACACTAAATATGGACTTAATGAAAAAATGATATAACTTCAGTGGGAGAATGAAGAAAGAAGTTTTATGAAAAATAACTAAAGCCTTTACCTATTATAATAGTAGGTGGATATTATCAAAAATTAAAGAATCCAGAGATAGCAGCATGAATGTATTATTCAGAAAATAAAACTACATATTAGAAGAAACAAAACAGAAAAACAGGGCTGGGGATTTAGCTCAGCAGTTCTACCGCCTGCCTTGCAAGCACAGGGACCAGAGTTCGATCCCTGGTACCAAAAAAAAAAGAGAGAAAAACAGTTGCCTCTGAAAAGTGTGGATATATGTGTATGAAGTTGGTGATGTAGAAATCACAGGGCTGTCTTTTTTTGGTACCGGGGATTGAACTCGGGTCCTTGTGCTTGCAAGGCAGGCCACCGAACCACTGAGCTAAATCCCTGGGCCAGGGCTGTCTTTTAACATTTGACTTTTTTATACTATATTCTGATATGGTAAATGAAAATATATGCAGAAGTTTTTATTCATTATAAATATACTTACTATGGAAATGCTGTTGAAGTAGGAGCTAAAACTGGAGGATTCTTCCAGAACTCATCCAACAGACTCTGAATAATTTTTCCAAGATCTGAGTGCATTGTAAACTGAAAATTATAGCCATCAACACATGATTAATATCGCTTTAAAAATATGAAGTTAATGATGAGAGTTGTTCTAAATATTAGAACTTTGAAGGTCAAGAATTAATATAAAAGTAAAAGATATTGTGTCAATTCAAAATAATAGCGATATATAATTTACATTTCTTATGGCTCGATACTATAAATATTTGGCAATTAGCAAAACAAGATAGAAGTGCGTTCAATCAATAATGGAGGTAAAATATTTCCACGTTCCACTGTTCAGTTTGAGAGTTCAAAGGTAGATACCAAAAGTATATTTAAGTTTAGAGTCCCTTCGTGCTAACCAACCATACCATATCCAAGAACTTCAAGGCAGAGTGTTAAGTAAACACGGTATTATCTATTATGTACCCTAAGGTAGTTTTCGGAAAATTACTGATTCCAAAATGAAATTTTAACTGTGTTTCATGTTTCTAAAACATTTAATAGAATGTAACATACTTGTTATCTCTGAAGTAAATTACAACATACATACATTGCTTACTAATGGAGAGGTAACATATACTCCTTGTTTATCCATTAAGTGATGTCGTATTGGCGGATAAACACTGATCACTGGCTTTTCCTGAGGAAATTGTGGAGGAAGTAATCTGGTAAAGATGAAAAACAAAATCAGCATATGTTGTCTTATATGGTCAAAATCCTAAAACAAAGTTAAAAGAAAATCAAATTTTAACATTTATATGTATTTTTTTAAGAAGTGCTCTGTTATGGTTGTAGAGTTGACTGAAAATCCAAAGGCTCTTAATATGGAATGTGGACACCTTGAATTACAGAAGTCTTTATACCATTCTAATTAATTGCTTTGAAACACAATATACCAGCCTATACAAAAATCCCAGCTAAAAATTAGATCAGGCATTTGTTTAGGTTATTCATACACAATCTGGCCATTTATTAGATAACAGCTTCTGGCCATGTAATTTTCTTTCTTTTTTAAAAAACTTTCATGATGCTGCCAATAATTATTTCAGAATCTGTTCTATTTCTAAAGATTAAATAGATAAAAATGGAAAGTACTAGGGTTAAAATAGTATAACTATCATCATGCTTTGGTTCTACCCAACTCCCTTCTGTCTTAATATCACTTTCCCAACTTAGAGGTCAACTACGTGGTTTCAAGTAAAATATAGTAAATTCTCAATACAATAAAAAGTAGCCAGGTGCAGTAGCACACGCCTGCAATCCCAGCACTTGGTAAGCTCAGCCAAGAGGACTGCCATGAGTTTGAGGTCAGCCTAGTCTACACAGTGAGCTCAAGACCAACCTGGACTACACAGTGAGACCCTGTCTCAAAAACAAAGAAATAATCAATACAATAAACAGTGAAACATTTAATCATTTTTTGCAATATTGCAAAATTAAGTTTAGCAGATGAAGTCTTAAAAAATGAATTTACTGAATATAGAAGCATGCTTTCCACATCTCTTAATATAGCATATTTCCCTTTAAATTGCCTCTATTTTCCTATTGGCTCAGAAAATTATTTGTTGGCAGCACTGACAAGGAGGAAACCAAGCCAAGTGTGGTGGTACATGCCTGTAATCCCAGTACTTGGGAAACTGAGGCAGGAAGATTGTCATGAGTTCAAGACCTGCCTGAATTACATACCAAGACACTTGCTCAAAGGAAAAAACAAGAACAAGAAAGGAAGGAGAAAAGGAATAGGGAGGAGGAAGAGAAAGAGGAGGAGGAGAAAAAGAAGCAGGAGATGACAACCAAAGCCAAAGATTTTAAAACTAGTTTGGTAAAAGAGGCAATAAATAGTCCTTGGAGTCAACCAATCTGAGTCTGTATTCTATGATATTTATTAACCATGTGTCTATAATTTGTCCTAAGGATTCAAAAAGATCATACGTGTCAAATTAACATAGCTTAATGTTTGGCAGAGTTATACATCCATGCTTCAATTCATTCATGCATGTAATATTAAACAAGGCCTCCTATGTGTAGGTTCTGTGCTAGACAATGAGGAGATGGAAGATAAATACAGTGAGATTTTTTCTTCAAGTTAAATGCCTTTAAGAATTTTTATCTCACTAAATTACATAGTATTTTACAAATTACTGTTACTTAAAATAAGTTTACTTTAATCAGCTTACTTCTTTTTTTTGGGGGGGGTACCGGGGATTGAACTCAGGTCCCTGCACTTGTGAGGCAGGTGGCAGAACCACTGAGTTAATTCCCCAGCCTCTAATCACCTTACTTCTAATAGTAATTAAGGAAAGAAAACAAAAAATTTTAAATCCTATTACACAAAAAATAGGACAAAATTCTACTCACATATTAATGTTAATTGTCAGGTTGTTTACGGTGAATGGCAATCTATATTCCACATCTTTCTGTATTTCAGCTATACTGCAAGAGAATATTTGAAAGAAAAGTTATAAAACCATTAGTGTTAAATACAAATGTTAAAAGATGGAAGGAGGGAACAGGGGTGGGAAAAAGGGAAGTAAAAAGTAGAAAGATTGTGTGTGTGTGTGTGTGCGTGTGTGTGTATATTCAAAACTCAGTTGAAATGCTCTAAAGGGAAGAACACAGAAGGAAAAAAACCTCTGTGTAATGGATTGAAGTTTAACAAATTAGCCTTTCAGGTAAATGAGAAAGTAGTCATTCATTAAGGTAACTAAAAATGAATTAATATCCATTAGGGAAAGGGATTTAAACTATACTGAAATAGATTTTTCAGAGTTACAAGGAGCTGGAAAATAGATAAGAGTTGGAAGGAAAATGAGAGGCTAGGGTGGGGAAATTTTACACAGTAAAGCAGAAGGAAAATTTTTGGATACTTTCAGTCAGGGAGAGCTACTTTTTTTTTTTTTTTTTTTTAAGACAGGATCTAGCTCTGCATTTTAGGCTGACCTTGAACTCACTAGGTAGCCCAGGCTGGCCTTGAACTTGCAGTAATCCTCCCCCTTAACCCTCTCAAGTGTTGGGTTTATAAGCATGCCCACCACACCCACACCCAGCCTTGATTTACATTAAAAAAAAAAACCTGACAATGTGAAATAGGAAGAAAAGGGCTAAAGGTGTAGAGGAAGTGGGAAGGGTAGGGGAAAGGAAATAAGGGAAAAGAAAAAAAATATGAGAAAACGAAAAAATGGAAAAAAGTTTTTGTAAATAGGGAAGGGAGGAGTGGGTGAAGGAAGGGCAGGGGTATGGGGGAAAAAATGAAAACCAAGACTTGTCATGTAAAGATACAAGATCTCAAAGATGAATGTACACCTAAAAAGTACCAAGAAACTCAATGAGAAAAAAAGATTAAAACTTAAAAAAAAAAAAAAAAAGAATACGAAATATGAGAGGTTGGCATTATTTTTGTTTGGTTTTTTTTTTTTTAGACAGGGTCTTGATATGTAGTCTAGGATGGCCTCAATTCACAATGATCCTCCTGCCTCAGCCTCCCAAGTAAGGCAGTGTGCTACTCTGCCATCATCTACATCAAGATGATGTCTATAATTTAGCAAGACTTTGTATGATTAAAAAAATTTTTTGAAACAATCTTTTAACTTTTATACAGTGTACCTCAGAATATCCAATCATGGAATGTTTGTATAAAAATCTTTGAATATAAGACAGACAACTATTTTGGCAAATATAACTAGCTTTAAAGTATATATCATTAATTAAAAGGTAAAAGGGTGGACTTATAAAGAATATGAGTGGGTAGATGGTAATCTTTCTTTCTTTCTTTCTTTCTTTCTTTCTTTCTTTCTTTCTGGGACTACATGATTCTTTGAAAACTGCAAGCATATGACCTACTTAAATGTCTCCAGAATTATCCAAGCATAATTTGTAGATGTGAAATATTTTAATTAAAAACATTTTTAGAGAAAAGAATAAAATATTTAAAGTTACATGTTTATAATCCTAATATGTAGATAATGTCACAAATTCAAAGTTTCTAGTTCAAAAAATAACAATGCATCCCTTCTGTATTCAATTCAGAATATTCACTATCCCCATTCAACTCCAGAACTCCTTAGATGAACAATTTTTGCCTTACAAAAATTTTATTTGGGAGGGCAAAAGTGGATCAATCACTTTACTTTTCTAATAGCCTTCAGTATAGGGGACTTGAGAATGTTTCAAAAATTCAATTCTAATCTCAAAGAATACAAATTTTCCAGCACTAATATTTATCAGACTATACCAAAGGCTTAAAAGCAATTAATTCCAAAGGTGTGATTCTAAAAAGTGTTTCTGCAATCATAAGGACAGTACAGTATATAGTCTTCCAAGGTGACAACTTCTATGGGGACAGACTTGTTTGTTGAGTCACCTTATTTTATAATCATGTTTTGTAAGAGTACTTCTTTCAGGTTAGCTCAGAATATAATTTAGAATAAGACTGACCTATGTTGGGAGTCATAAAATAACCCAAAGTTTGTCATTTCAGCATGCTAAGTACTTTTAACAAAAAGAGAGTAGAAAGTCTCAGAAGAAAAGTCTCTCTCCTGCCCTCATATCCCTCCTCTTTCTTCCCCAAAGCAGTCATAAAAACCAACCTTCCACAACTACAAGGTCAATGAAACCAGAACTGGTCGTCATTGAGTCGTGTGTTGCAGTCGTGCCCCCCACCAAGGGAAGCTATAAAACCTTGACAAGTCCCTTTCTTCTGTCTCCCTAGAAGATCCTCATTCCAGACATTTCTTCGTGGTACTCATACCTGAGAAGGAATGCTACACGGGTCACGTAGGATAAGAACAGATAGGTACTGTTTCCCCACTCCCATTAATTACCATTATATCGACCCATTTGCAAATCATATGTCCATACAGCTGTTCATTCCTCATCTGAACTAAGCATAAAAATAAAGGTTTTTCCTGGGCCTTTGGATTTTCATTTCTGAAGGCTCCCATGTCAAATAAAATTTTGGTGAAATAAATTTGTTGTGCTTTTCTGTTGCAAACTGTCTTTTGTTACAAAAAAGTCAGCTATTACCTTTATGACAGGCGAGAAAAGGTTTCACATTTTTTCCTTGCCTACACTTGTAACCACTTCATGAACTTAATTTTAAAAAGTCTCCAATAATAGCCTGCTATTCTTTTCTGTTAAAAATCCCAAGTTTTTCCTCTTTGAAAGTTCTGAACAAGAGTAATTAAGACAAAGATTCAAGAAATACCTGAAGCTCAGTCAGCAAAAGGTCTTATTTTGGACAAACATTGTGCTGTGAAGTTTTCTCTTAGTAATGTTTAATTTTAAATTATCCTACATTATCCCTTACTTGCTTGGGGAGTACTGAAATGTTTTAAATGTATGAAAAGATGTTTACAAGGCCTAGATTATAAGCATGTGGACATCTTTACATAAAACACAGGCTATAAAACTATTAAGTAAATATAATTGAAAAAGTCCTAACCATAAAGCAGTTTTTTTTTTTTTTTTTGGACAGGGTCTTGCTCTGTTCAGGCTATCTCTGAGTGCACTATGTAGCCCAGGCTGGCCTTGGACTTGTGGCAATCTTCCTGCCTCAGCCTCCTCAATGCTGGTATTACAGGTTTGGCCACCATACACGCTAAGCAGTTCTATTTTTGAAAATCATTAGAGGCCACAGACATTTGCAATATAAAAGGCTGCAGCAAATCAGATGATAGTAAAAGCTGTTAAAATAACTTAAGTGTAAAATATTTCTAATCTACCCACAATGAAATGAAAACCTCGCAAGGAGAAAAAACAATTGATTATAAAACAATTCCTGAGGGTGGGGTCAAGAGTATCAAGGAAATGAGAAATGTACAGACAGCAGTTTCTAGATGGGGAGAAGTTAGTACTAGACCAGGATGAATGACTGTCACTTGAATTCACTGATGAAAACTTGGGCTTCCCCTTCCTTTGATGTTGCAACAGTGTTTTATCTTCCACTTTGTGAAACCTGGATTACTCTTCACACTTCTCTTCAGCCAAGTACATACTACATTGTAACAATTCTGCCAGTGCTGCAATCAGGTGCGCAAAGGGCAAGGTTAGTGAGAAGGCCAGTGACACCGAGGAGACTGGCTATAACAGACTACGAGATTACTGTCAGGGTCGATGTGTCATGAAGGATGACGAAGTCAGAGGCAGAAGCGCTAAGCAGTGGTGGGGCCGAAGGCAGGGGCGCTCCCGGGGCCGAATAAGCACGAGTTAGGAAGGGGAGAGCGGAAGTATTTCCCACAAAGAAGTGAGGTCTACCAAAAGGAGTCAGCAGGAGGGGACTAGGCCTGATGCGCAGTGAGGGTGGTTAGGATCAGCCCGCCCTCCGCCCTACTTTTCCCTATAGTCGGAGAAGCAGAGACCAATCACCTGGAGTGTGAGTTCCGGAGGGACTCGATCAAGCGCTGCTTCTGCTGTTGGAGGCTGGTGAGGCCACTGGGGGACCCAGCTGCGGAGGAGGCGGCGCTTTTGGTTAAGGGAAAGAGCCAGCTCATCCTCCTGGGGTCCCCGGGCCCCAGGCCCTCGAAGCCTCTGGCCTGCTTCTCCCAGCTGCTCAGCCGGCCGATCTCCAGAGACGCAGGAGCGGGCCAAGACGACTGTGAACCAAGCGCTGGGGGACCGCGTCTCCACTAAGCAAGTCCGGTTCGCGGGTTTTGGGGGACACTCTACTAGTGAAACAGCTGGAGAGGGCAACTTGCCTACCGGGACTGGAAGCCCTAGCTTCGCGGCCCAGCCGCCTAAGGCAGCCAGTCAAGCAGCCTGACGGCCCAGCGCTCCACTACCCGAGCCTCGTCAAAACGCGCCCCGCCCCCTCTGCGCGTCGCGTCATCATCTAGCGCCCCCGCCAGGACGTGCGAGAAGCGACGACGCAGCACGGTGCGGCGCAGCTCCAGATCCCCTTTCCCCCTTGCTGGGCGAGGGGTGTCTATGGGGCACCCGCCGCCGCCCCGTGCTGTCTCTATGGCGAGGAGGAGGAGGATGATCACGAGCTCAGAGACAAGGGTAGATCTTGAGTTTGCTGCAGGCTTGCCGGGGGAATGGCGGGCTGGAGAAGTAAAAAGAGGGCGGGAACGATGAACCTAAGAGGATGTGCGGTAGAGCCTACCGGAGTGGAAGGAGGATCTGGGCTGCGGGTGAGGGGGGTAGGGTAACGGGCTGGGGTATGTCAAGAGGTTGGCGCGCAGTGATGACGTAAGGGCTTTGTACCTGGGCTTCGTTGTGGGACGGAAATTGAGAGTGGAGGGCCGTGGCCTAGATCTTCAGGTCCTGTTATCTTTTCACTCAGCAGTGCTTGGGAGTCAGTCTGACCCCCATTTAAATGTTATCACCGCCTTCGTACTGGCTCTTTGACAGGGAAGAGTACTGTATGACATGAATGCCACTGTGCTGTCCTCTTGTTTCTTTGGGAACCCTCTGAGATGCTACCTCCAGTAATGAGAAGACCTTTGGTGCGTCTTCAGGGGTTCTGGAACTGTCAAAGAGAGGTGGTGGAAAGCAGTGTTAAACTATAGTGTCCATTCTGTGTGTGTGTGTGTGTGTGTGAGAGAGAGAAACTCAGCTCTCGAGGTTACGCTTGGAACTTTAAGAAGACACAAACTCGTTTAAATCAGTTACGGATTTTTGTTTCATTTTTTGGTGCAAAGTAAGCATTTGGAAATTCCCTAGGAGCAATATCTTGGCCCGTATTATCATATGACATGAACTTCTAGTTTATGAACAGACGGGTGAGGTCTGTGTATGGTATTCAGGGGAAAATGGCTCTCATTTTTAGAAAATTAGAAAAGTTTAAATGCAGTAATTCTGTTGCCTACTTTTTCCGTCCTGTTTCTGAGAACATTCAAAAGATTTCTATGGCTATTACTTTTTCTTAGAGCGTTTGAAATAAATATTTTTTACACATTTCAAAACTGTTTGGCATAGTGGCACAGGCCTATAATCCCAGCACTGGACAAGCTGAGTTAGGAATTCACAGGCAGCTTGGGCTACATAGTTCCAGGCCAGCCTGAACTATATACATAGCAAGAGTGTATTTTAATAATAATAGTAAAAATTTAAAAATCTGGAAACAGATGGCTTCCTTTTGTGCAGGGGATGAATTGAGCTAAACAGTTTTTAATGTAATGGAAAGTTATAGAATTATTTGTATGTATGCATTGAAACACTAAAATCATAATCCGGAAATTGATGTGTATTCCGTTTTTTTCCCTACAGATTAGATGTGTGACTTTAGACAAACTGTTTCCTAAACTTTGATTTTGTTATGAATCAGAGAATTTGAGTAATGTCTTAGGTTTCTGCCAGCCTAATTCTGTGAGTCAGATTTACCATATAGCTGTTTTTTATTTTAATAGGTACAAAAATAAAGGAAAGGTATTTTATGAAACAAGTCTTCAATCAAGTATAACATTTTGACGCTTGGCGTCTAGACTTCTTTGTGCTCTCACTATGCCAGCAGCAACTGTAGATCACAGCCAAAGAATTTGTGAAGTTTGGGCTTGTAACCTGGATGAAGAGATGAAGAAAATTCGTCAAGTTATCCGAAAATACAATTATGTTGCTATGGTATGCCCATGACCAAATTTTTTAAAAGCTTTTTATAAAGGGGAGTATTGGGATAGTCTTCAACCCTTTTGATTGCAGGGATTAATCATTAAAAAAAAAAATTGCTTATGCCCCCCTTCCACAAATCAGAAATATACCTATGATATAAAAAGTTAGGCTTATTACTCTTTGCAAGTAAGAAAAAAAGCAATGGGAATAATGGAACATTTGTAAGTGTGCTTATAAAGTACATTAGGATCAAGGCTTGTGTAAATGGTTTTTGGAAAGGCTTAAAGGAGCAGGACTTCGCTGTGGATTGGATGCTTTTGACAAGCTGGGTAATTATATGATTGTATGTTTTAATCTTAATTAGAATAAGAAAGGCGAGTGAGGGAAAGTCTATAGAGAAGCAACAACAGTCACTTCTCTGTGTAGGAATAGAGACTTGGTCATTTTGTGATGTGGACTTTTTTTTTTCGTCCTTTCAGATATGACTGCAAGAATGATTGCCTCTCATACTGAAATTTTGAGAAATTGTTTATGTTCGACAGGAGAATATTAGGGACTTCCTATGAGTATCATACCAGATTATAGTAACATGAAGGCCTAGCTAATAGTATCGTGTGAACTCTTGGAAGCCAGGGAACTCCTGGATTTCTTTTAAAAAACAAAAAATCAGGTCTCCCCAGTGAAACATTGTTGGTCTACATTTTTTTAATGTAGACCACTAGAGCTCTGGAAACACTGTTGTTAAACAACCCTTTTTCACAGCCTAGTAATTCAGTCCTAGACTGTTCATGCAAGGTTTTTGTTTTTTGTTTTTTTGCTTTACTATTATACTTTGTGTTCCTGTTGCAACAAGTTTTCTAGGTAGACTAGATGATTAACTCCATAAAGCAAGGAATTAGTATCTTGTTTATTGCTTTTCCCCTCAACACTTGATATAACCTGTATAATACTCACTAATTGGTTGTTGAATTAGACTAAATTTAGAGGTTTTAATTTCTTTATTTCATGTTGACTTGCTGTTTAGTTTTTGTTTTTAGCTCTTAGCTTGAATTCTGATACTTAATAGATGTAAGTTTAGTACAAATAAAAATAAATGTGTTTCATTGAGGGAAGGAGTGGGATGACTAGTAAAATTATGAATATTTGCAAATATATAAAGTTCTACTTAATAAATATGAACTTAGAGTAGAAATTATTTTTTACCCCCCTAGTACTGGCAATTGAACTCAAGACCCTCGGCTTGCCAGGAAGGCATGTCAACACTGGGCTACATCCCTGGCAGAGAAGTTATTTTCTTTTGAGGGAATTATTCTTTGACCCAGTGGAAATTTATACTTATATTTATCTTTCAGATGATAAGGGATAGGGCCAGGGATGTAGCTCATTGGTGCTGCAACTACCTTGGCAAGGACAAGGTCCTCAGTTCAATCCCATGTACTAGAAAAAAAAAGCCACACAGATGATAAGGTATATCCTACAAGGAGTGTGTGGCATGCAATTAAAATGTTCCCTGTGAATTATAGAGAGAATATTGGTTTAGTCAAAGAAATTAGAAGGCTGATGGAACTTGTTGAGATAAACTTTCTCTCACCATTGGGAACATTAGTATATTTTCTACTCTGTAGCCAGTTCTTCACTCAAGTTGGTTGTAGTATTGGAATACTGTGAGCATAGTTTCGCTTATCCCTCAAAGGACATGATTTCATGATTTTTCTCCTCTCTTGGGTCTAGAGTATTTAGTTGTATTTATCCCATGTATCTTTATGTATTGTTTATTGATAGCATATTTAAAGAAAAGATATGTTTATAGAGTTTTATGGTTTTAAGAAGTAATGTACTTAATTAAAAAGTACTGTATTTACTACTAATTAAATATGAATGTATGGAGTGTCATCTATAACAGGATCTTTTAATTTGCATCAAAACTTCTAGGAATTTATGGACTATGCTTCTGACCATTAAGTAAATAATTAATCTTAAAATTGTTTTACAGGACACCGAGTTTCCAGGTGTGGTTGCAAGACCAATTGGAGAATTCAGGAGCAATGCTGACTATCAGTACCAACTATTACGGTGCAATGTAGACTTATTAAAGATAATTCAGCTAGGACTGACATTTATGAATGAGCAAGGAGAATACCCTCCAGGAACTTCAACTTGGCAGTTTAATTTTAAATTTAATTTGACGTAAGTGGGAAATGAAAACATACCCCAACCCCCCCCTTTTAAGTTTAATATTAGGAATTGCTTACCTCAAGTATAGTGAAATTCTAAGTGAATTTAGTAGTTATCCTGGAAATATATAAAATTCCAAAAGCGTAGGTTTCCTTTTAATTATGAGACAGAAAATTCAATTTATAAAGATTTGACTTTTAAATAAAAATACTTTGTTTTATTTTATTTTTATTTATTTATTGGTTTTTGAGATTGGTGTTTCACTGTATAGTTTAGGCTGGCCTTGAACTCACTATGTAACACAAGCTGCCCTTGAACTAACAGCTATCCTGCCTCAGTCTTCCAAGTTCTGGGATTATAGGCATGTAGCATCATGCCCAGCAAAAATACTTCAGTTTTATAGATGTTTATGTTTAAAATATGACTGCCATTTTTCTTAGAATTTGGAAAACTGTTTTGATTGTCTTGAGCTGTTGAGGTTTGGACCCAGGGCTTGTGTATGCTAAAGTTCTACCAGTAAACTACATTTCCAGCCCAAAAACTTTGGGTATGAAAATACTGCTTAGAAAATAATAATCATGAAACATTAATTTTACCTTTAAATACAGTGTTCAATTGAAATTTAGACTTTGTTAAAATAAGTCATTCCATTTGTAGAGAGATTTTTATTGCAGACATATTCCAGTTTATTAAGAGATTACATTTCAAATGTAGTAAGATAGTTCTTGGAAATTTGGGTGCATTTTCTTTTCAAATCAGTTTTATGTAATTGTTATGTTCTCATCACAACTCACAAAACCTCTTAATTTACATGCAGGAAAAATAACAGTATTCTGGTGTTTCTTATTTGTCAGAATCAAGTCGAAACTAAAGCCCTGGGTCTAAACTTAGTTTCCCGAGTCATAATCCTTAGTTATGAGTGGAAGTAGTCTTGCTAAGTGGGACAATGGAGTATTTTTCAGGCAAGAACAGATTATTTACAAATGGACTATTAATTTGAGGAAATAAAATGCTCACTATATTGAATAGTTGCAATAACGCAATGTCTTTAACAGCCTATATTTATATAATTTGAT